CTGGAACATGTACGGTATAATTGAACGGTCACTGTTCCGCGGTGGTCATGCGAAGGGTGAGGCCACTCATAACCAGCACTATTCCAACAGTTCCCGCGTCTGTGCCGGCCAACAAATAGTGAATCCCAAAAGGTTGGAGGCCATGTCAAAATGTGAGAAACGTGCAGAAGTAGAAGGGACACGATTGACAAGGATTTGGATGGGTTTAGGCTTCCACAATGCATCGGAGAACATTTGAACACCCATGCAGTGAGCGACACCCCCAAACCGAGCAATAGGTTGGTCAACCGACAAATCTCAAACCCCGCCAAGACGTACTTGGAGGGAGGTCATCGTACTCACCCAGAGCGGCCTCCTTCTGGTTGTCGGAAAACTCATTGTCGACGCAGTGAGGGTCAGCAGTATCAAGGGAAGTGCGAGCATTCATTCGTAGAAGGTTGATCAAGATTTTCGGGGAAACGTAAGACTCGAGTAAGTCAGAACACGGGTTTGCCGCTTTTTCTTTGACGAGCGCGTCCTGGATTTCGACGGTCCGATTTTCGTGGGATGTCTGCCGCGTGAGCTCGTCACATTTCATATCGGGTCTCGTCATTTTCATGATGGCCCCGTCCGGCCAACCCGAGTCCCCCCAACCCGAGTCTTACGTCTCCCCGACATCTATCCGATGCCATCGACAGCTCTATAGACTGCCTCCCATCCACACACAGTGCAATGACCATACCACCAGCCCAGCATGTGACAACGAGGGAGCTGCTACGAGTCACACAACCACTGGCAGTATGTGACATCTACATTGGTGTTTGCCGAGTGGTCTCGCACAGTCCCTTGGTGTGTGGCTGAAGTGGGACCCGGCGGTCCGGATTATGATTGTTGTCATCTTCTTCCGTCGTCGTCCAGACCAGCGGCAGGCCAGCGACCCACCCGCGACCCGCCCCCGATCCCTCCCGCGACTTAAACCTGCGGCCCACACGCGTGGTCTGGGAGCCCCATGTGATTTGTATGTGAAGCCCCATCGCCGGGGGTCACCGCCGTGTCTCACTCAATCGGTTGACGGCGGGCCTGTGGCCGAAACAGCTTAGCAAGGCCGAGCAGCGCCGCTGCGGTCTTTATAACTTTTCCCAGCGACGACGTCGGGTAGCTCGAGGCTCGAGACCCACCCGCGACCCGCCCACCATGTTTCTCGGGGCGTCCTGGCACGCTCCCAGGGAGCTCGGGCAGCGCTCTGGAGCGGCCGCGGCGCCCGATGTAACCGCATCCTATCCAGAATCGCCGGCTCTCTCCGGGATATTCCTGCGGCTTCGGCGGCGAGCGAAGGGGGGGGCAGCGAGAGAGGGGGCGGGCTCTCTCTCGGAGGGCTCGGGAGTCCCCCCGGGCCTCCTGGGAAGTTGTCTCAAGTCGGGCCTGGCCCTCTACGGGAGGACTATGTTCAGAGACAGTTCAAAAAGTGGTCAGGGAAAGAAGTATTCTTTTTTATTTGTCGTCCAGAGTCCGCCTGTAGGAGGACATGGCCCGACCTAACAGCTGTCTGCCCCTTCCCGGGAGGCACAGGAGGCTTCTCAGAGGGCCCGAGGCTCCCCTCCTCCTCCTTTTCTTCCTGCTCCTGCTCCTGCTCCTCCTCCTCCATTCTTTTTTTCGTTGTGAATAACTTCTCCGTGTCGCACACCGAGGCGAATTTTTAGGACGGGCTGGGCGCTTCGGCTGAGAATTCCTCACCATTTATTATTCTGAAGCTTTCAAAATGACAACAGTTTCATAGATGGAGGGCGGGTGGTTTTCAACATGTGGCTCTCGCATTAGCGCCGCGCACATTCGATTTAAACATGCGAAAGAGTTTCACTGATTGAGGGCGGGTCGTTTTCAAAATGTGGCTTTCGCCACATCGCCGCGAACACTCGTTTTAAACGCAAGAATTTCACGGATTGAGGGCGGTTCCTTTTCAAACTATGATTCTCGGCTTAGTGTCGCGCGCATTCGTTTCAAACATTTGCAAGAGTTTTTCACGGATTGAGGGCGGGTGGTTTTCAAAATGTAGTTCTCGCTTTCGCTCCGCGCACATTCGACTTCAACATGTGCAAGAGTTTCACGGGTTGATGGCTGGCCGTTTTCAACATGTGGCTCTCGCTTTCGCGCCGCGGACATTCGATGTATACAATTGCAAGAGCTTCACGGATTGAGGGCGGTTCCTTTTCAAAATGTGGTTCTCGCTTTAGCGCCGTGCACATTCGATTTACAACATTGCAAGAGCTTCACGGACTCCTGTGATCAGCGTACCAGAACTTGTGTTCTGTAAGGATTCAGGTTTATGCGAGTGCAACAGTTTTGTTGATTCGTGGTGTGGACGTCCCACAAATGGCGTTCTGGCACGATTCCAGGTCGTCAGGACGCGGCAGTCAGGTTGATCCGTGGCGTGGAAATCCCGAGGACAATTTTTTGGCATGCTCCATGGTCTTCAAACGGTTGTCTTTCAACGAGGCAGTTCCCTCAATGGAAATGAATTGTTGTAGGGGCCTGTGTAGAGTGAGCTTGGAGGGAGGGTTAATTCCAACATCGTTGATGATTCTTGGGTTTGCACTGGTCCTTCTCCTCCTCCGCCTCCTTCTCGTCCTCGTGCGTTTACCCGTGGCGTCCCATTTTGTTCGATACCAGGCCCCTGACATTTACCGACGTCCGCTGGGCAACCAGGGGGATTCCTCCTAGGTGTATTTCTTTAGTTTCTCTCCTCCACCTCCGCCTCCTCTCTCTCCCCTGCTCCAGTCGCATAGCATTCAGCTTTCTGAGCTTTCGCCGCGCATTCGTCACGATAATAGCTGGGGGCAGTTCTTCAACAGTGCTTCTTACGAGGCCGCTTTCCGGCTGTCTGGCTGTTGCTTCCTCCCCCCAGTCTTTGTCTCACCTTGTGCCCGCTGTGTGGTATTGGTGGCTTTTCTGGCCGCGGAGGATGTTTTTCATGTGGCACGCCACCGTCCCTCCCCATGGGATGTTTCTCCGCATGGGCTTGCGTTGTGCAGGCCTGTTCGTGTGGTGATCCCCTTCCTGTCTGGGCCCGAGGCCATGGCATACGTTCGGGACATTATTCGATGAACTCTGGGCGCAGGGACGGTCGGTGCCTCCGTCCTCCTCCTTTTCTCTTCTTGTCCACGTCCTCCCCCCTTCCCCCCCCCCTGTCGCAACTGCATCGTCGATGTGTTGCTCAGGCCGCGGTTCATACCACGAGCTCGCCTTTGCAGGTCGGCCTGTGCGATGCTCCTGGTTTGGCTGGCGACTTTCTGACTCGCGGTGTGGTTGCCTCACCCGTGGTGCTCTGTGTGAGAAAAGCGGTCGCCCACCCTGCGCAGGCACGTGCGGATGCGTTATCGGGGGCATATATTGCCGATCTATCGGCGATGTCTCTCCGATTCGGACGAGCACTCAAGATGAAGCAGGGAAGCGCACAGTCCACAGCTTGAGGCATCACGGACGTTATATGGCTGTGCGCAACATGTCGCCGCAAAGGAGGGGTAACATGTGAAGGGGGAGAGGAGGAGGAGGAGGAGGAGGAGGAGGAGGAGGAGGAGGAGGAGGAGGAGGAGGAGGAGCAGGAGCAGGAGGAGGAGGAGGAGGAACATGCTTCGGAGGGTCAGGGCGTGGAGGAGGAGGAAGATCAGATTGTGGCTTCCCTAGGGGTGATCAATGTGTGTGAGTCTGCACAGGGCCTCGCATGGTCAAGGCATGCCTATGGGGCGTCCCGCCCTGAGCATGGTCGGCTTCGAAGCGAGGTAACAGCATGACCACCGTATCGACCCTTGACGATCGACCGTTGACCTCGACCGGAGGCCGCCCACGCACCCTCGGTGCTCGACCCTCGATCCTCGAGGAGCAGGAGGAGGAGGAGGAGGAGGAGGAGGAGGAGGACGATCGACCGACCGACGATCTTTGCTCCTTATCCTCGTCGAAGTCCTTAACGTCTTCTGCTTTGCATGCCAAGGAGGCGGGACACAAACAGTGGCTGCTCAATCCGGGCTTCTTGCAGCGAGACGCGGGACCCAGGTCGAGATGAAGCTGGGAGCTCACTTTGATGGCTCTTGGTAATATCAGATGGCTTTCGGCCCATCCCGCCACTGTGCCTGTTCTGTGGGTCATGGGCCTCTAGGATGTTCGTTGGGATGTCGCGGGAGGCTCTCGGGGGCCTTTTGGAGGCCGTTTTGAGTCCTCTTGAGGGCCGTTTTGGGGCCTCTTGGGGCGTCTTCGGGGCATCTTGGGGGTCTCATGGGTTCTCTTAGGGGTCTTGGGGCCTCCTCGGGGCTTCTCTCAGGGAGGAAGATTCGGATTCTTGTTTGGTATTCCCCGTCTTGGGCCTTTCTCGGGCCTGTCTTCGGGCCCTCTTGGCCCGTCGTGGGCGCCTCTGGGGCCGTCCTGGAGCCCTCTTGGGCCGTGTTGGGGCCCTCCCGTGAGCCCCTTGGGCCGTCTCGGGGCGGTCCTGGGGGCCGCTTGGGCTGCCTTTGAGCGTCGAACAGCCGAAAAAGGCCAGCAGACCACACGCCTTCAACAACCAACAGAACACCAATGATTTTGGCCTTGTGGGCCGCGTCTTGGAGGCCTCTTGGACCGTCTTGGGGTCATCTTGGGCGTCTTGGAGCGATCTGCATTCGTTTCGAGGCCCTCTTGGACCATTCTCGGGGTCTCTTAGGGCCCTCTTGGCCCGTCTCGAGGCCCTCTGGGGCCCCAAAACGTTGTGCGACAAGCCGCGACAAGCCCCGAGAGATTTGGCAATTTGGGGCCCGGGCTCTTTAGACTCTCCAGGATTGAGGACGGAGGCTGAAGGGCGTAGGCAAAGGACCTAAGGACACGCCTACTCCTTGTGCCGTCGCACGGTGGCGGATCTCCCCAGGGAGAATTGAGAGATGTGTTTCCAGTGGCTTCCCGCCTCTGATCCCTCACACTTCCACTGCTATGGGTCTTCGGCCCCGCGTGACGCTACTTTCCGATCCAGCTGTGTGGAATGCTCTGCGCCAAGCTGTCAGGACGACGACCTTGGCCTCCTCGGCAGTGGCACATCCACAACGACGCTGATCGCACTGCTCAAGCTGGAGCCGGCGTCCTCCGCCGCCTCCTTAGACCGCCTATCGCACGCATGTGCCTCTCCAGGCAGCTCTGCTGCGGGGGGCCAGCTCAAGGAACACCGAGCCACCTCGACGACTGACGACGGATGACAGACGGACGACGGACGACGACCGACGACGGACGACGATCGACGACGGACGACGACCGACGACCGGCGACCGACGACGGGCGACGGGCGACGATCGACGACCACAAAGGACCGACGACGGACGACCGACGACGGCCGACGGCCGACGGACGACGGGCGACCGACGACGGACGACGACCGATGACGGACGACGACCGACGACGGACGGCGACCGGCGCCCAGCGACCGACGACGGGCGACGGG